TTGATGAGAGCTTCCGTGGTAGATCTTAAGATGTTTGAGTTGATCAGGATTTCCGTGGTAGATCTTAAGATGTTTGAGTTGATCAGGACTTCCGTGGTAGATCTTAAGATGTTTGAGTTGATCAGGATTTCCGTGGTAGATCTTAAGATGTTTGAGTTGATCAGGACTTCCGTGGTAGATCTTAAGATGTTTGAGTTGATCAGGATTTCCGTGGTAGATCTTAAGATGTTTGAGTTGATCAGGACTTCTGTGGTAGATCTTCAAAGATTCCAAGGCCATGGACCACTTAATGAAGTTCAGAGGTAAAACAGTTTGGAATAAGAGTGTTTGAAGGACATGGTGAAACCATCAAGGTGGTTGGAGAATTCTGGGAGTTGAAGTCCGCACATCTTAAGGTTGTTGAAGTTGAGAATCACAAGCTTAGATAATGAGATGGTTGTATCCAATGCAGTGACTTTGTCAGTCTTCACACAGGGCAGCTCTATGTGAAAAGTGACATGTGTGTTGTTTGCAATTATAATGTCCCATAGCACGGGAAATCTTGGAGATGTTGAACCAGTGTGGTACACTACAAAATTGTGTTAATACCATTTTGTAATGTCTTGGTAAGGCCACACTTGGAATACAGCATCCAGATTTGGTCACCACAATGTAAAAAAGATGTGGAGACTCTAGAAAGAGTGCAGAGAAGAGCAACAAAGAGGATTAGGAGACTGGAGGCTAAAACATATGAAGAACGGTTGCAGGAATTGAGTATGTCTAGTTTAATGAGCACGATTTTCACTACCAGTTCGGGCAAACCGGTACAAACCGGCTGAATTACCACCTCTGTTTATGTTGCCCAAAGATTTCCAGGGGAGGATGGCACAGAAAAAGAGAACAGACTCCCGGGCCCTTGCGCGAAACCTACTACCAGTAACTTTGGTGGAAATACAGGACTTTGGGCATTGATGTGCATTTTGCAAAGCAGGAAATCAAGAGGGAAGCAGTGAATTAATTAGGATAGGGAGAAATGAATTATGGGGCCAAGAACCTTAGTAAGATCACACCTGGCATCCAGCCTTGGTCATCACATTATAAAAAAGATGTTGAGACTTTGGGAAAAAAGGATGATTAGGAGGCTGGAGGCTGAGATATATGAAGAACAGTTGCAGGAATTGGGTATGGCTAGTCTAATGAAGAGAAGGACATGGCAGTCTTCCAATATTTGAGGGGCTACCACAAAGAAGAGGGGGTCAACGTATTCTCCAAATAAGAAACAATGGATGGAAACTAATCAAGGAGAGAAGCGACCTAGGACTAAGGAGGAATTTCCTGACAGCGAGGACAATTAACCCGTGGAATTGCTTGCCACCAGAAGTTGTGGGTGCTCCTCCAACACTGGAGGTTTTTAAGATGAGATGGGAGAGCTGTTTGTCTGAAATGGTATAGGGTTTCCTGTCTGAGCAGAGGGGTTGGACTAGAAGACCTCCAAGGTCCCTTTCCTGTTTCCTATTCTTGTTATTCAGTTCCGTTCCATTTCAGTCTCAGCCTTCAAATTTGGACTCGACGTTGATTTATTGTCCCATTTTGCAAGCCATTCTTCTTCAGCCGTTCTCACCTTACAACCATTGTGTTTCGACAACCTCAAAACACGAAGGAAGTTTTGAATAACTCAACTCCTTGGGCAATTTCACGCTGAGCCCCGTTGTAATCGCGTTGCGCCGAAGCCAAGCTTACGGAAGGCTGCCTACGAGAAATCTTATCCTATCCACGCCCCTCTTGAAAGAGGATAGGATTGTCTGACATCAACACGGCAAAGAATATGATTCAAAGTCCATTTTATTTTTGTTTAAAGCTCAAGGACAAACAGCTATTTTTTTTTATTCTCTGCTAGAGTGAAATTTAATCAGCTTGCCAGAGGAAGGAGGAAGAAAGTAAACAAGGCTTGATTGCACAAGAACCGGAGCTAAAATGGAAACTTTTTTTATTTTTCATTTTCCTGGTTTCTGTGTTACTTAGAAACTCTCCGGGAGAAACAAAAATGCTATGCGGGTTGTCCTTGACTTACGTCCACAATGGAGCCCAATAGTTCTGTTGCTAAGCGAGAGGTTGGTTCAGTGAATTTGGCCCCATTGTATATGACCTTTCTTGACCCCGTTGTTAAGGGAATCACTGCAGCTGTTCAATTCGTAAGACGGTCGTTAAGTGAATCCGGGCTTACGCATTGGCTTGTCTTGTCAGAAGGTCGTCGAAGGGGGACCCCCGGAGCAACCGTCGTAAATATGGGTCAGTTGCCAAATGTCAGAAATGTTGATCGTGTGATCATGAGGATGCTGGAAATATTGTAACTGTGAAAAACGGTCATACGTCCGTTTTTTCAGTGCCGTTGAATCTTTGAATGTTCACTAAACGGACTGTTATAAGTCGAGGACTCTCTGCGTGCGTACTACTGCTTGCTTTAAAATAAATACCAGATATTTGCATTCCTTGATATTTAATTCATCAAGTAATTATACAATACGCTCTGGCAACAAAAATCCAACTGTTATTACGTCGTTTTTTCAGCTTCAGTTACTCCTCCACTTATGACCATAATGTAGTCTGCTTATTTCAGTTGTAAATCATGAGGCAGGTCACCCACGAGACTGACCTGAATTTATGACCTTTTAAAACACGGGTCGCTAAGTGAACCACCACGGTCGCTAAGCGAATCAATGGTCGTTAAACGAACCCACCGTTTGCCATGGGAAGTTTTTGCCAGTTTTCAGCAAAAAAGTTGCAGATTGCGGTCACGTGGCAACAGGCAATGTGCGAACAGTAGTAATTCAGTGGAAATTCAGTCACATGACCATGGGTGGTGGTGGTGGTGGTGGCAGCCGTCGTAACTTCAGAACCGCATCGTGAGTACCATTTGAAGGCTCTGTTGTAAGTTTCAATGGTCGCATAAGGGATTGGTCGTAAGTCACGGACTGGAATGTAGGTGGGACATTTCACAATAAGAAGTCGAAATTTCGAACCCACTACTTGCAAAAAAGATTATATTCTTATTTTGGCGCGTTAGAATTGACTAGAGCCGGAAGGGACCTCGGAGGTCTTCTAGTCCAGCCCCTTGCTCAAGTTATGATAGAGAGACGAATAAGGGAATTAACGGGATCCAGGATCCAGCCGGAAAATATAATATTCGGTGGGTTGGAGGAGATTTTTTAGCAAAGGAGAGGATGGATCTTAAGGAGATCTGTTCCATCTGAAAGTTACTAAGTGGGTTCTTGACTTCGCCTCCCATGGATTGCAAAAACAATCCTTTTCCGATGCTTCCAACCTCAACTTCACCGAGATCCTTTCTTCTTCTTCTCGCCAGATGTTCGGCTGTGGTTCGGTGGCCCAGCTGGTGCTCAGCAGAGGCTCCCACGCCCGTTTCTTGACGGTCAACTTGGCCTTCGGCTTCGCCGTGACGCTTGGAATTCTGATCGCGGGACAAATCTCAGGTATGGCGCCTTGATTGGCCTCAAAGACAGAGATGGCCAGGCATTTGATCTACTCTAAACTGACAGCTCACATCTGCAGCAATGCGATGAAGGCTTTTCCTTTTTTCCCCTTCCCTTCATCCATTTACATCCTTTCCTTCCCTTCCCTTCCCTTGCCAACCATACGTCTCTTCTCTTCTCTTCTCTTCTCTTCTCTTCTCTTCTCTTCTCTTCTCTTCTCTTCTCCTCTCCTCTCCTCTCCTCTCCTCTCTTCTCTTCTCTTCTCCTCCTTCCTCCTTCCCTTCCCTTGACTATCATCTCTTCTCTTCTCATCTCTTCTCTTCTCCTTTCCTTTCCTCTCCTCCTTCCTCCTTTCCTTCCCTTGCCTACCTTCTTTTCTTTTCTCTTCTCTTCTCTTCTCCTCCTTCCTCCTTCCCTTCCCTTGACTATCATCTCTTCTCTTCTCTTCTCTTCTCTTCTCATCTCTTCTCCTTTCCTCTCCTCTCCTCCTTCCTCCTTTCCTTCCCTTGCCTACCTTCTTTTCTTTTCTCTTCTCTTCTCTTCTCCTCCTTCCTCCTTCCCTTCCCTTGACTATCATCTCTTCTCTTCTCTTCTCTTCTCTTCTCTTCTCATCTCTTCTCCTTTCCTCTCCTCTCCTCCTTCCTCCTTTCCTTCCCTTGCCTACCTTCTCATCTCTTCTATTCTCTTCTTCTCCTTTCCTCTCCTCCTTCCTCCCTCCCTTCCCTTGCCTACCATCTCTTCTCTTCTCTTCTCTTCTCTTCTCTTCTCTTCTCTTCTCTTCTCTTCTCTTCTCTTCTCCTCCTTCCTCCCTCCCTTCCCTTTCCT